TTTTTTTTTTTTTTGACAAGGTTGACGAAGGCTTTATCAATTTTATTTATTCTTTTGAAAAATCAATTATTTGATTCATTTTTTAAATCTTTCTTTTAGTCACTGTTGCATTGATTTCTGCTTTGATCTTTATAATTTCTTCCTTTTTATGAGTTTTGGGTTTCTCTTGCTCTTGTTTTTCTAGGAGTCTATGATTCATCATAAGGTTGCTTATTTGAGCTCACTCTATTTTCCTAGTGTGGGCACTCACAACTATGAATGTTCCATGTAGAACTGCTTTCATTGTGTCCCATAGATTCCTGTATGTCATACTGGCATTATCATTTATTTGTAAAATTAGGCTAATTTCTTCTTTAATTTCCTTTTGACACATTGATTATTCAGGAGAGTGTTGTTCAATTTCAATGTTTTTGTGAAGTTCTTATAGTTCCTTATGGTATTGATCGCCAGTTTAATGACACTATATTCAGATCATAAATATGGAAGAACTCCCATTCCTTTGCATTTACTTAAACATGTTGTATGAGCAAGCATGTGGTCTGTTTTGGAGAATGACCTAGTGCAGTTGAAAAGAATATGTATTCTGATTTTGTTGGGTGGAACAGTCTGTAGATGTCTATTGAGTACATTTGTTCAAATGCTTGTTTCAGTTATAGTATTTCATTGTTCATTTTTTGTCTAGATGATTTGTCTATGTGTGACAGTGGGGTACTTAGATCCCCCACTACAATTTTATTAGTGCTTATTTGGTGTTTCTTGGTCCTTAGTATTTGTTTTGTATAGTGGGGCTATTAGTATTTGGTGCACATATATTTATGATTATGATGTATTCATCTTTTATTGTTCATTTTACAAGGATGTAATGACCTTCTTTGTCTCTTTTAATTATTTTTTGTTTGAAACATACTTTGTCTGCAAGTAAGATAGCTACCCCTGCTTTTTATTTTTATTTTATATCTGACATAGGTAGATACTTTTTGTTTGATACACTTTCCTACCTTTTTGTTGATATCTTGATGTTGTTTATGAATCCCTATTCTGATTTCATCAAGTTTTGTATGTATAGTTGTAGCATACTGAGCATCTTTGAAATAAATATTGTGAGTTCCTTAGTAGAGAATGCATAAACCACTATTTCTACATTTTATTGCTTTAGTATTCTCTGTATTTTGATTTTTTTCTCCTCCATTGTTAACTTTTAAGATGAAACATAGATTATTAAATGTTTGCCTACTTTCTTTTCATTTATACATTTATACATTTAATATTTGCTCAATCATGACAATATGTATTTAGAGAATTTGTTCAGTTTAAAACGGTTGAAATTTTGCAAGGTTCTGAGTTCCGTTCACAGTACAAAAGAAAAAAGTAAAATTGGTGAAAATTAAATGACATGTAAATCTATTAAAGAATGTTTCATAAAAGAGAAATGATGATAAACTTTACAAGAATTTTAATTGTTTAAGTATATAATGTGGAAGAACTAAGTCTAAGTTTGTATAACAAAACTTCTTATGCTCTGGTTCTTAGTAGCAGTAAGCTTAAAGAGTCTTATTATAACAAGAAAGGAGATTGAAAATTTTATTTTTTGACCACATATGTTATGTGTGTTACCTACCTATTTACAGGATGTTTTAATTTATGGATAGTATTTAAAGTAATAATTAGGAGCCATTTACATGAGCAGATCAATATTTTGATATTACTGACTCCAAAATAATAGTGTCTTTATAAAAATGAAAGAATCAAAAATCAAGTAATGTAATCTTAACTGTAAAACTAAATTATGACATCTTAGAAAGTTACAGATTTGTAAGACGGCCAGTACTTATTTTTTTAAAAAATATATTACTGCTTCTCATGAGCACAAAACAAAATTTTTTCATAACAATTTCATGAAAGGGATAGCTTCAATGAGAGTATTTGAATATATAGCAACTTTAAGACAGAGCACATGGAAAATATTTTGTGTCATGGAAAATTATGGTTTCTGAATAGAGAATTTTACAATAAGATAAAACATGACATAAATGGAAACTTTGGACAAACAAAATCATGCACTGTAATCAGTACTGTGTTTAAGTGTAGGCTACTTTGGATAATGTAATAAAATAATACTCCCTGTAAGGTTGTATATTTTCTTTAATATGTCATTAATGCTTTTAAAATCAATGATAACTATGAGTCTCTTTTCATGTCCTAATACCTGTAATTGTTTAACTTACTTGCAAAACTCTGGCTTTGGTATTAGTGAATTGAAATTTTATTTTAGGACTTTATTTACTTGCTATTAGTGTGAGAATTTAACGTGGACTGTGTTACTCTAGAGCGGCATGGAATTCTAACTGAGGGATGTTGGGCTTTTGTCTCTTCCAGGTGCTCCAAGTGACCAGAGCAGTGGCACCTCTTCTCCTCTTTGTGACAGTGGCTTGCATCTTAACTATCATCCCAACAATACAGTAAGATGTCCTAGACATAGTTCTGATTAATAATGAGCTAACACAACGAAAAGCCATGAAGTTACAAATAAGTGTAGTCATAGTTTGTACAAAATGCTACTGTATGTATTCTAATGTATCTGGGAGATATGAAATCCTCCATTGCTTTGTCATTTAAGCAGTATAATAAGATTGGAGGAATAAATAGTGACTTGTTTTTATTTTATTATTTTTCTCTTCTAGGTCTGTCTATATTAACCTTTCTGTAAGCTATAGATACTTTTAATTTGAAGAAGTTACAAATAATATCACAATCATTTTATACCATTCCATATTATATGTGATTTCATACTCTGCATGATTTGACACAATTTTTGTCATTTCTATTCTATTTAGATATAAGTAGCTATCATTTGTTATGATTTCTTAGCAATCTATGCATACCAGGGAATTACAACAAATTGAGAAAATCTTACCTACTTATTATATTAAAATGTAGTAACTCTTACACTTTACATACATTTCATAGAATACAAAATTAATATGTTGTTTTACAAACATTTAAAACAATTTTTAATGTTTATCTTCCACTTGTACATTGGAGTAAATAGGGTTCTTTTTGTATAACTACATCTGGAATTCACACATTTTCAAAGATGTAAAGAGTTCTTTTTATGTAGGTCTAGCAATTATCCCCTGTGCTCTCAAACATGAAGAGTAGCCCAGATGACCTTCAGGAGAGTTCTTTTTTTCCACGTATTAAAATGTGCAAAGCAAACAGACTCTTTTGACTTGTATGACTCATACACCATTGGAAATTCTTGACCTAAATGAGGCATTTTTATTTCAAAAGAATCCTTTTGAATATCCTTGAGCTTATATGACCTGCATCTATGTCTTAGTTAAGAATTTTAGGTCCTCAAGTTGTTTACTTTTTTTCCTTATAGAGACAAACACTTGGTAAAATCAAAGGTTATTGATAAAAAATGTAGGGATATTTTATAAAACCAAACACATCTAGATATATTTCATCTGATCTTTTACATTTTACTTACCAGAGGAAAAACTGTCTCATAATAATATTTGAAATACTGATCTTCTGAAGCTAGCAAGATCTAAGTCATGTAAAGCCTTAGTTTCCTACTGAGAAAGAATATATGTATTTACAGTTCTATCAGCTGATTTCACAATTCCACAAACTTCTTACATTGACTGGCCTCTCCCCGCCCCCATGCAAGACATTGAATCCAGGGCCTTGTGCATTATGGCAAGTGTTCTTTCCCTGAACCACAACTCCAAGGCCATTTACTTTTGTCTCTTATCTTTCATAATAGCTTTGCTCACCTTATGCATAGATGTCCTTTATGCTTTAGATTTCCTTTCCACTCCTCTCTCCCTTACTGGCTCACCATCCTCCTGCCACTGCAAATGCTCGTGCCCCTATTCACATCTTCTTTCCCCTTTACTTGAAGCTTTTTTGCCAAATCTGAAGCTACTGAACTTCCTTCCACATTTGTAGTATGGCTTGGCTGTGGGAGGACAGCAGCAAATCCCTTCAGGGCATCTGCAGGTGAGGCAACAGCTTCCTTCAGGAAGCTACATCTTTAGCTAGACTGTTGGCCTCTTTAGCACTGCCTCCTTCAATCTGCAGATTCTTCTGAGATAATTTTATCCTATAGAATGTCATAAGTAGACCAAGAAAACCACTCTAATTCTGTAGCTCAATTACTCCAAATATGTCCCGTTGTATAAAATACAAATTACCAGTTTCCAATTTTTTTTCACATTGGAACTATGTCTATTCATTTCCAAGAGGAACATTTTGCTCTCATTTTTTAAATCAAAATTGAACTTTCTTCTAACACTGCTGAAGATGTTTCACTATGTGGAAATGACAGGTACTTACAATATTTTAGAGAAACTCTGTCTCAAAATAGGAAAATTTAAAAAAATAAGAAGAGCTGATATCGCTCAGTATTAAGGCCCTGTAGTACACAAAAGGAAAAACAAAAATGTTGAGTCTGTAAACCAAATGCATGTTCTGTTGATCACCAGACAATATTCATCTTTGATCTCAATCAGATCGTCCTATTTATATAGCCAGTGCTTCCCCATTTTTTCTCTAAGCTTTTATGCAGAAGAAGAGGAGACATAATAATTTTACTCAGAGATTTACATTTTTTTAAGCCAAATGTTTATGGTACATTGTAGATATACATAATGATAGCACTCATAGGGAATTTGCACTTGTACAATTTAAGATCAGATGAAGATATTTTTTTTTCTGAAATGCTGATGAATAGTGGGCATGTGGAAGGATGTGTGCATTGTGAAGAAAATTTTCCACAGAAGATTTGCGATTTATAGACAAGTGATCTTCCTAAATCAAACACTGGACTCCATAGAATATCTAAATCCAAAATTCTGATCTGAGCCTTAGAATTCCATTTTTACTTTAGAAAAAGTTTGAAATTAAAAGTACATAGTATATAAAAATCAAAAATTGCACAAACTCCATTTTTAATACCTGTTCAATTGTACTCTACTGTGAATTTTGAATAAGTAGGGACAGTTTGGGTTTTTTGAAACATCCTTACTATATTTTATGGAAGCATTTTCAGCTTCAGGGAAAATAAAGCTTTATAATATAGGAGAATCACTTTAGCATTCCACATAAAAATGTAATCTATTCCTTCTAAGGACTCGAGGTTGCCAATTTTAGGGAGCACAAGAGCCGACTGTTTTTGACAGCTGAGACACTAACACCGTATGCTCCAGCTCAGATACACTGAATCTGCCTCCTCTGAGATGCAGCGAAGGGAATCATTTCAGAGATTTTGATTCAGATGATCAGTCAACCAATTTCTGAAAAATGTTTTATTTTGTTGTTTACTTCTATGAAATACTTTCTATGCTGAGTTCTGAATAAAATCTGGATCAGCATTTTTGCCCCCCATACAATTCTATTTTGGTAAGATGATGCTTCTTTAGATTTTTGTGTGGCTTGTGTTAAGTTTTGGGACAGTTCATTTTCAAGCCAGCGTTATGTAAATGTTACTGTCCAGTCACGTTATTATTAATTTTAGGAAACAATGTTGTTGGTGTCATAAATTTCTTTAAAAATTATTATAATTTTCAAAATCATAAGATGGTTCCATTTCCAGATTAGCTTTTATACAATTCTAAACAATTACACTCTTACAAAAAAAGGTCAGAAAGCAAATTTATATTTGTTTTTATAATTACTACAGGTCAGTATAAATAACTTTTAAAGGATATTAGGTAATCCACTCTAAATAACTGCTGTGTAATATAAAATGTATCAAGCCTGATTATTTCAATAGTTTATTATAACTATTTCATATTTCTTTTGAAGAGGAAACAAAATGACATGCAACATTGATACACAAAAGTATCAAGTCAAGCTGTTTAAAATAAATATCAGGGAGCATAAGTATTTTTATATCTACCGATCTATGACATTTATCAATTTTATTTTTAAATTGTCATACCCACCTATTGGTGATTGTTCTTGTCCTTACTGTTTGATTATCTATATCTTTTATATTCATGGAACTTGACAAAGGGAGTAATTTTTACCTTTTATGAAACATGGGAAACCATATTTAAATAAGTAATTTGCCCAAACTTATGCAACAAAAATATTAAATGCCTAACTGGAAAATCTGAATTAACCTCTCTTTCATTTCAACTCTGATTTTGAATGATAAACTTATGTGCAAAATCAGAGGCCGGTTGGTTTGAGTGAATCTTAGTGCTGCCCTTAACTGGTTGGGTGTCTTGGTGGTCCGTTTGTTGTACCTCAAGGAATGAGCACTTTTATGTGGCCCTGGAAGTGGGTTTCAGGTGTGTATTGGGATGGGCTATGTTACAGTGCACATCGTGTGCTGCACAACTATTCCAACTGAAACAAAGAGTGGACCCTACATCATGGGCTGCCCACTCATGACATCTGACATGAGGCCAATTGAAAGACTGATATGTGGCTAATCACTCATAGGAATTGGTTTGATTGTCTAATTTGCCTCACAGCTTTTTTTCCCTCTGGCCCTTCTTGCAGAAAATGAAAGTCATTGGTTTTTACAATGAAAATAATATATTTTTGAGAGGGGGTTTAAGTAATGCATATAAAACAGTTGGTACAGCTAAAGATTATAAGCTGTAGTCATCCTAATACTGTGATAATGAATAAAAATTTGGAAGTATATTGGAAGCTTCATGTTTAAAATGTTTTTTTTTCCATTTTTCCAACACTATTTTTCAACACGTTACATGGTTAGTGTTTACTTCCTCCTACCAAGTGATGCTTCCGTGGAACTGTCATTATTAGTAAATGTAAAACTTCCATTAAAGTTTTTTGAGACATTAAAAATACCATGAAGTTCAGTGTTCAGTATATTATAAGCATTTCCTCATTTATTTAGATTATACTCTTATTAGCCGATGCTATTGTGATTCCCACTTTGACAACAGGCACGGTAACTTTAAATAACTTGACCACAGGTTAATGGATTCATCAGTTGTAGAATTAAGATTCAAACCTGGATGGCCTCCCCACTTGGTTATACTACTACTCAACTGGTCCCATGTCACATACTGACCACCTATGTCATTAAAAATGAATAAAAGATGCCACATCACCTACTGACAACTATGACGTGCAGCATGAAGAGCTAACCACTCATGACAACTGACATAAGCACTAACCCCCCTTCAAACACTGACACCTGTGACAGCTTACACAAGGCCATTAAAAAGGCCAATGTGAGACCTTGGTTTGAGTCTTTGTAATCAGCAGATAAGCACTGGAAACAATGGGCTCTCACTACAGGACCTATACTTAATGAGTCACCAGCAGGGCCCTTCTCTCGTCCCCTGAGTTCAATTTTCTGAATATTTTACACTATTTCATGGAAATTTTAACCATTTTCTTCCTAATCCACTTAAAGAGATACTGAAGGTAATAAATAATATTTTTACAACAAAGTTTTAAATGTGGACTAAAATAAAATCTTCTAAACACCATCACTTAAAAATTGGTAAAGAGAGAGGAAATAAAGTAAACGTTTCTGTTGTGAAACCAAACAATGACAGACTCACAACCTGTCAGTTGCCCCAGAAATGTTTCAACAACGAAGCTGGAATAAGACATCATGTGAAAAAGCTTATTTTTTTCAAAGATACGCCTCCTTAATATTTGAAGGGGAAAACAAACTCCTAACAACGATGAACATACATGTAATTTAAAATCAACAGTAATTCCCTTGTGTGATATGAAACAATATAAGAAAATGGTGCGTAAACCTTTATAAACAAGAACTTAAAACAAAGAGAACAGACTTCCTTGGGCAGTGTTCTGAAAGCTGTCTTATTAGAATGCCCATTTATTTAAAAAATATTTCCCAGAAACAGATAAATTATAAGCACTTCTAATGGTGCTTAGCACTTACCAAGTACTCAGAAAACTTTGCTTTATTGAATGAATTTCAGTTTATTTTTATTTTTGCTTACTGGTTCACTGCAGTTTGTTTTATCTTTCCCTTTCTTGAATGAGTCCAGTTCAGCCACCCTTTCATTCTTTTTACACCATTTCCTTCACCTCATTTTTTTCCCTTGCATTTTCACCAGTGCTGTGCCTCTGAATGAATCCTTTGTGGCCTGCTCACAGAATTACCTTAGCGGTGCAATTAACAGGCACAATGTTAGGGCCAGTGTGGGTTTTTCCTCATAAGGAGTTCTAAAAGCCTTTACAGTTTCTTATCTTTAGGGGTAAAAAAAAATAGTATCTCTCCAAAGGAGGAGGGCTTGTGACAGAAAGGGTGAGAAGTACTAAATGTGTGTGTTTCTTGCAGGACTCGCTGTCCTGCTCCTCCTGGCCGACCTCCCCAGGCCTGAGGTGGGAGAAGCGATGGTGCGACCTCAGGCTCATCCCGCTGCTGCACTCCCGCTTCTCCCAGTATGTGCCTGGGACCGACCTGAGCCGGTGAGTGCTCTCCCTCGCTAGCTCAGCCTCGCTTGACTATACAGAAACTTGGAGTAATGTGCCCTGTCATTCTCACTGGAGCATGTTTCTGGGAGCAGGAAAGACATCTTCAAAAGAATAGCACAGTAAAACATTTAAAAGTCCTGTGACAAAAACAAAAATCTAAGTTTCATCTAACTATGTTAATGAATTCAATGTATGTACCAATGCATATTTATTCATGTATTTACTGTATTTATACTTCTTCCTTTGCTAGCATTGGTGCGATTTTTTTTCCTCAAGGAATTTACGTTGCTTATTTAAATTCTAAGATTCATATTCATTCAATCATTCATCTTATTATCTTTAAAGTAAGTGTTCAATCATCCAGTGATGTCCTCTTTTTCATTGTTGAAATCTAAAATGATCATTACTATATGCTTTTTATCTTTATTGTTTGTATTCCTTGAATTCCTTAGTTTGAAGTTTTGTTTTTAGAATTTCTTGAGACAGAAATTTCAAGGGTTAGGAAACTTTTCTGTAAAGAGCTTGCATTCTATACATTTCTACTTAGCTGTTGGAACCACCAGGGAGAATCAGAGCATTAGTTTAAAATGAGGTCCCTGTGCAGCCCTGCTGAGCCCTTGGGGCAGGAAGAGCAGTTTTGTCATTGTGAGACTAGATTGAGGTCAGGATTGTCCAAGGGCTTTCTGGTTTTGGTTAATGTTTTTCCTAGTCCTTTCCTTGGAGTTGCTATTCATGATGCTGTCACCTTACTATGGTGGAGACTTCCTAGGAGACTTCCCTGCTTAGGAAATACATGAGAGATGTTAGGAGACTCGGGAGACTGGCCAACCAGTCTCTTCTGTCTGTGGTGTCCAGCAGTCAGCCCTTCTCTTAGCCTTGCAGACTTGCGGCACTCTTGCTATGTCCTTCTTGCATTCTGGAGTACCTTGAAAGACTGACACTACTCTCTCTTAGTCGGTGTTAAATATCCACAGTACCACTGCTTATCTTTTTCCTTATTTAATCGTATTTTCTCATTTTTCTTGCCCCTTTCATCACTATTTAAATTGTACTGCAAACTTTCAAAAGATCTGGGACATTTAATTATCACTTTTGTTGTTTTCTAGTAAAATTCCCTGATAGATTATTTTAATTCTCTGACAGTGGCTAAGGCTTGATTTTACCCACCCTATGAACCACATGGGGAAATTTTCCAAGTGCACTGAAAAAGGAAAACATGTTATCCCTTTAAGTGCCACATTCTATGTATTTTAGTCAGGTGACACGTGTCAATTAGGGCTTCTCATCCTCACTATGATCAGTATTGTTTTTATTTTACCATATCAATTATTAGAAGCATTGGACAAAGTCTCACATTTAGATGATAGATTTGCATATTTCTTTTTTATCTTGAATTGGTGTTCATTTTTATCTATTTAATTGTAAGCTATTATTATAAGGTGGGGGTAGAGGGCTGAATCTGAGCTCTCTTTGGATTCATTTGCCTCTATCAAGAATATGAGAAAAAGCTCAAGGTACTGAGTTTGATCCGTAGCACAGAAAGAAAGTAAGAAGGAAAGAAAGAAAAAGAAAGAAAAAGAAAGAAAGAAAGAAAGAAAGAAAGAAAGAAAGAAAGAAAAAGAAAGAAAGAAAGAAAGAAAGAAAGAAGAAACTAAGTATAGCCTATAAAAATAGGGAGGAAATGTGGTTTTAACAAACTGACCAAATTGCAAGGTCAGCTGTTCCTTTCTCTTTAGCACAAAGGAACTTCAACTTTAAGAAGGGATAGAAAAAAAGCTAAGAAATGTGCATGTGTGAATTCAGCTAGGTTTTGGCCCACAGTGGCCCTAGAAAAACAAGTTGAAAATTGACAATGTTTCTTTTGAAACCTCTTTGGCCAGGCCTGGAGGTGAACAGACTCACTCTTATCATGAAAAGAAACCAGAGAAGCAGTCTGCCTTTATATATCCTAATCTTTCAACCTCGGCATTTCATTTATTTCTTAGGCTAAAGGATCAAGAGTGCAATTTCTGGGTTGTAGTATAGCATCACAGTTAATCTTTTTAAGAAACAGCCATATTGTTTTCTAGGATGCTCATTTAATTTGATATTCCTACCAAGGAGAACTGTATGAGTGATCCATCCTCTCCACATTTCTGCCAGCTTTGCTGTGGTCGCTCCCTCTATTGTACCTTTGTGATAGGGGTGCGCGATGCTGAACATTTCTTCATGTATGTCTTGGTGACTGGTACTTCCTTTTGAGAAATGTCTGTTTATATCTTTTACTCATTTTGTAAGTAATTTACTTGTTGCTTTTTTATTGTTAATTGAGAATCATATATCAGGGAGAAAGACATATTTCAACCCGTTTGTTTTTATATTCTGTCTCATCTTCTTACTTTTTATAATAAGCACTCTCAGTAGGTACTGTAAACATGTACTAATGCAAATTTTTAAATGTATAGAGCATTTGTTTTATTTAACTGTCTCTGTTGGATTTATATATACTTTTATTATTGCTTAAATTTTGCATACTCTCTCATGTGTGTATGACTTATTAGTTTAATATATAGAATTCATTAATGTTGTGGGGTTTTTTCCAGTAAATTCTACATATTTAGAACACTGACTTCTTTGTCCCTTTCTTACCTTTGGAGAGAATTTAAAATAGCCCCTCATTTGGAACACACCTATTGCATCGCTCTGGCCATTTTCTGGAGCAGTTCTGGAAGTCCGTTTTCAAGAGTACCTTTAGTTTCAGTGTTGTGTCTGTCTTGATGTCCTGAATTGATTCCAGACATTTAACTTTTATAGTCACTTTGACTTTGCAGAAGAACAGGAAGTTGCGTGGTGTCAGACCCTGTGAATAAGGTGGATGAGAGACCATGGCAGTGTGCTTACCAGGCTATTTTTCCATGTATTTGTACTCAGCTGCATCATTCACATTACTTTTGATCACTCCTCTTAAAGACACAAAAGGGAATTTCCAAACTGCTTCAGAAAGTGGTAATAATGATGCTCTATGTGTATTTTAAAAAATGGGGAATCTCTTGAGAGAGATTTTTGGTAATGTAACTTTTATTATAATAAATATTTAAAATTTAAACATTCAGCATAGTTTTACCCCTCATCCATTTTTATTGGTACATCACGTATGCTTTTATGCCCAAGATATATTATTGTTTTTACCTATCCATACCTTTATTGAAATATATCCTGCCATTAATGTTTCTTTCATCTTTATCTTATTTATTTATTTGTTTGTTTATTTATTTATTTATTTATTTATTTATTTTTGAACTCGGGTCCTTGTGCTTGCAAGGCAGGCCACTGAACCGCTGAGCTAAATCCCCGGCCCATCTTTATTTCTTACTTACTTTCATTTGAACAATTTTCTTAATATTTCCATTAATGCCATTTTTAAGTGTATATTTTTTTCTCTAGAATTTACTTAAAAATTGTGCAGCAACATTATGTAGAGACATTTAGCTAATTTCTACTAACAAATGCATTGTTTGGTTGTGTCCAGGTATCTTTACATTTTATTTTTATGGACCCTCAAAACATCAACAGCTTTTAGCAACTGAATTAATTACATTCAGTAAATATTACAGTCAGAAGTAGTTATAAATTTAACGCTATTCAGAGTGGATTTCACAGCAATTCTGATTCAAAAGCTAATTTATTGTTCACTTATTCTCTCAATAAAGATTGATTTAATACCTGTAAGTAGGAGCCATTGTGCTTTGTCCTTTCTCTAATGAAGCTCATAAGCTAAGAGCAGTGCATTCAGGGAGGGGGGAAAAATAACCAGGTCATGATAATAAATATAGAATGTTATTTATTTTGGCTGGAAACCTAAGGTAGTATTTCTTGGTTGATTTTTGCCAAGGCCCATAATTCTAACTTCAGTGATATAATATATCTCATATTTAATTACAACAAAGTTGTCACTGTCACTATTGTGTTTAGGTCAATTGATTAATTACAGTATTTTTTTAGCAGCAATAAGAAAATTAATGTTTTCAGGTGGTAATGACCCTGATGCAGGAATACAGATCTGCTTTATATTATTTTATAAGTCAGAATATCATAAAGTTAAAGATATTAAAATAGGAGGTGGAGATTCTGGGACTGTTTATGGGTGTTGATTATTTTTAAGCTTTATTTTCCTTGTGTGCAAAATTAGCAAATTAATATATGTGTGTTGACATGTGTTTATATGTATATATTTGAACTTGGTAAAAATCCTTTTTATTTCTATACTGAGTATTTAGCATATTTTATAGATCTGAAAGCCTCAAAATCCTTATTTATTAAATAAGTTTTAATGAGGAAGAATTCCATCTATTCCATCTCTTTATTTCCTGGTAGGAGCATGCTTCTAAAACACTATGAAAATCAATAATATTAAAATGAAACCTACTGATTTTTCTAGTACTTTTATAAAATTTCAGATGATAACAGCATTTGTAGTTCTGCCTGAGACTGTAGACCCTTTTATCCTGATATAATTGCACATTTGGTACCTATGGAAGAGGCTTAGTATCTGAACAATAGGCAAAAGTCATCACTGTGACAGCAGAGCTTTCTTTAATGGAAGACTTGCATTAAATGATTCTCTAATAATGGAAGCAGATAGGAAAAACTCAACTTAAGGCTGCTTTTAGGGACAAACATTTAGAGATATACATTTTGGAAGATAAGAAAAGCACACAGAATTAGTGAATACATACAGCAGAAAAGAATACAAATATAAAGAACTGTGATAATGCAATATCACAGAAGCCACTGCAAATAGGGCTTTAAATAAAAACATAGTTGTTGTTCATATCAACTATAGAAAAAATATTGAAAGGACTGAGAAAGAGTGATTCATTTTTATACAGTAATGGAAAGAATAATTTCAGGAGTGAATCATACTGAAAAGCAGTTTGTTAGAAGAAGGATATGGTAAAGAAAGGACGAAATATGTAAAGATGCTATTTGTAAAATGTGGTTTAAAATTGAAGAAA